AGTAACTTTATTAATTATAAAAGAAATACATAGAGTAAAACTAAAAATAAGAAAAAAGAAAAGTACTAGCTATCCCCCGTGATTAATGATAATATTTATGTAACGGTACACAAGCTAAACTATTTTGTGTACACTATTTAAAATCCAAGAATTGTCATTTTGAGCATCTGTATTACACTTATTCCTTTATATAGTTATCTAATTCCGATCGAATTTATAACATTAAAATAAATTTATGACGGTAAAATCTTCAAAGAAAAATAACAAATGATAATTCATGTAAGTTTGCCAATAATGTGACCAAATGGTCGAACGGTCAATATCCAACCTCCGGCTCGCATTTTTTATAATAAATAATTATTATTGTTATATTTAGTGGAAAATACATTATTTTTTTTTTTTTAAAGAAAAAACCAATAAAATAATCTTAATTAATTTTTTTTTAAAAAAATAAATTGATAGGATAACGGAACTGGAAAAATCTGTAAAAAAGGAAGTGTTGGTTATTAATTTTACATGAAACTCAAACGTTTTGGTTTAGACCGAATTATTATAAATCATACACAAGATCTTTATTAAGGTTATCGAGGTTGTTTATCGATGGGAGATCATCCTTCGGTAAGGGGCACAGCTTGTTCCGTGCATGGCATGCTTATTAAATTCCAAACATCACCTTTTTAATGGGGGTTTTTTTTAATTCTAATATGATTTAATTTGTAATAGAATCTCTCTAAATGTTATGATTTGAGGAAACCTTTCTTCAACCAATAAGTGGAATTTCGATTCATAATGTACAGTACAAGGACTTATGACTTCTATGCTACTAAAGAAATTATGCTAAGGAATGAAAAGTATCCTTTAGAGTAATATAAGAAAACCAAAGAATATAGTCAAAAGTTGATAATTGTTATTATTTAAAAAGTAAGTGTTCAGTAACCATTTTGTACATACTAAGCAAAATGGACGAAAGTAGAACATTTATTCTTTTCTTTGCATGAATATTATTTATTCACTTTGAAAAAGAAAAAAAAAATAATTTTTTTTTAGAAGCTTATCTACTTCACTTGACCAAATTTTATATGATCTCATAATTAAGCTTGCATATTACATTGTCATGTATATAACTCGAAACGGTAAACTACACCTCCTTTAATGCAGTTATGAGTTGAATGTAATAAGTTCAACTTTATAAAACGTGAAGATGAACCCCTTCTACATTTTAATTTAAAAAAATAATTAATGGAAAAAAGCTTTTTAATCGCCGAAGAATGTTTGAATTTTTTTTATATAATGTATATCGCCTTTCCTTTTATTTCTTTGCATGACATGCAACCTATTGATTTTTATTTATATAAATGTTTTTTTACCTTTTAGGGGATAGTGCTACTTATATCGGACCATTGACATTTATGGTCTCATTCAAAATTTCTTCAGTTATGTGCCGTTTCATACGATCGACAAAACTGTGTAGGACGATTTTTGTCTCCATCAATGAACTTTAAAAATGGATATTTCACTCATCATATCGGAAACAACCTTTTTTGATAGTAAGCTTCAAGATTTTGCAATCCAACATAGTTGCGCGTAAAATGATTTATTTATTTTGTTTAATATAATAGATCTTACTTCTAATGTCTTTAAATTGTCTATGCCTTCTGTGCAAAGTGCATATCCTGTTTAAGCACGTACATATATTGGAAAAAAAAAAAAATAATAAAAAATTCATCAGTTGTAAAATGTAAAGTATATAATACTTTTTTGTTTATTTGATTGGTTTTTTTATAAAAAAAAAAAAAAAGTGGAAGAGATGAGTATAAACAAATGTGATATGTGTTGTAAAAATGATCATCATCATCATTATTATTATTATTTTGCATGCAAAGATATTTATAATATTTTATTTCGAGGTTTCTGCGCAAAGGTCCTGCTCATTCTAAACGCGGTATGATATTCGCTTGATTCCTTTTTAAAGTCTTCCACTAATTGATTATAATCTTCGGTACTCATACATGAAAATTCAGCCAGTGAATTTTTTAATGTTAAATAAACCGACGCCCAATTTTCAACACACGATTCACCGATAATTCCACCCCTCTTTCCTAAAAATGTTGTCTTTCCCTCATTGTGAATTTCAATAAAATCGTGGTTGGGAAGATATCTAGGAAGCTCACTGATAAAGAAAAAATTGATACCTCGTTGACGATATAACGCTTGATCTAAATGAGAAATCCGATCTTAGATTTGTTTATATTTTTTGAAGAGATTTTTTTTTTTTTTTTTACCAAATTAAAAAACTTACATTTGTTATAGAAAATTCTTTGAGCTGGCCCAGGATTTATTAGATCAGAATTGTAATCCATGACCTCTAACCATCCGCCAGGTTTTAAAACTCTCTTAAACTCGTTGAATATAAATTTAATATATTTTTCGGGTATCAAGCTAAACAAGAATCTAACGTTGATAAAATCAAATCTATTACCAGGGTATGGTAACCCTTCCGTAATATCTACCGCCTCGAACGTCGTGTTCGATGGATGAGTATCCACCGGAAATGAAGGCACGATATCTATCCCCTTGAAATTTGATAAAGGGTAATTCGCTGCCATTTCCAACAACCACAATCCAGAACCGCAACCGACTTCAAGAACTTCAACCCCACCCAATTTTAAGATTGTTTCAACTGGAGATGAAAAGTGAGATTTCCATATCTGCCAGTGCAAATAATGTTGTGCTTGTAACCTATCAAGTTCTCCTTCATCATTCGGTAGTAAGTATTTGTTAAAATCCTTTAAATATCTTCTTCCGTTAACATATTGATACAAGTCATCTTGAATGCTACTACTTCCACTATCACATTCGATATTGTAGCTTTTGATACTTTTACATTTTTTAAACTTATAAAGAGAAAATGTGTTTCCCATCACGAATGATTAAAAAAATTTTTTTTTAAAGAATGTAAATTTGTTCGTTGTCTAGATACAGAGTAAAATGAGTAAGTAATAAAGGAAAAATAATAATAATAAAAAAAAGAATGAGAGATGTTAAGGAAAGAAAAGAAGGTCATAGAAGATGAAAAATAAAGATTTATGAGGTAAAATGCAAAAAAAAAAAAAAAAAAAAGGTTATTTTCAAAAGTGAGGATAAAACTTGAACAGATTATCTTAAATATATACGAATTTATTTAGGATCAAAATAAATACAAACCTGTTGAGTAAATTACAAATAAAAAAATGAATCATTATTCATTATTCATGCGACACGAAATGGTGTTTGATATTCTTAAATCAAAACAAAGTATCTGAATTTCATGACATTGTTTTAGTGAACAGTTTTATTATCTATGGAATATCCATGTCTAAAAAGTATTAGTTATTAGTCCCCCTGTAAATTAAAAATAATTTTTCTGTCTCACAAATATTATGATTAATACTTTCGTAATCAAATTCATTTTTTTACATTGCATTATAATATTATTACGTTAATGATTTAAGGTATCATACGACAATCTTTTCCATTCCAGGTGAAATCTGGAAGCCGGAAGTCCAAAAATAAGTTTTTGATCTGTGTACCTTTAACTTATTTTAATACACTTGGACCTATTTGTTTTTACTGCGTTGATTAGTTGCATTAAAAGGATTCTAAATAAGTTCTAACTTCTTCCAAAGTAACAGCGAAAATCTTTAATTGTATTGGTATATAAATAAATGAAAAAATATTAAGGATTTTCGAGCTTGGCTGTGAATGATCTCGGAACTTATAAAAATGTAATCAATCCCTTTTTCCCGAACGTAAAATCATGAACACAAATAAATTTTTTCCTTTTTTGGTCAATTGTATCCTATAATGTGATATGTTTTTCTAATCATGGTTTAAAGTTCGCGACTATTTTTTCGTGTATTTTTTTAACCGTCTTTTTCTCCAAGCAGCACGTGACATCTCTATTTTGTATGATGGATTTTTAATTTACCGAAGGTCATCGAGGGAAATTTAATCTCTTTATTTTTTTGGATATAATCGATATATTTGCAGAAATAGATTTTAAGTTAATACATATTCAAGTCGTAAACATTCATTATCGTCGACCTAGACTAAATTATTATATCATACATTTGTTTCTCAAAGGAAAAAATTGATACGCTTTCTTTGTTTTGAAAAAAAAATAATAATTTAATTTACCCAACAAATATTATATCGTCGGATCTTCATTTGACATCCGAATGTGCTACGCGATACAAATACTACTTTCCGGAATAACCTTTAAAAACGTTGGTTTGTGGGTCATATCATTATCATTTTTTCTTTTTTTGATTTTGATTGTTTTTTCACATTTTTTTCTCATTATTATTGATTTCCCTATTGTTTTGTTTTTACTCTATTCTATTTTATTTTATTTTTATTTTATTATTATTTTTTTTTTTTGCCTTTTTTTTTTTTTTTTTTTTTTTTTAGAAAAAATATATATATATATATATAAAATATCTGAAATCTATAACCGAAAAATGTCCAAATATTAAACTATAGACCATAAAATACATGCGCAAGTAATAATTATAACAATTAGGAATAAAAAATACAAAAACAAGCAAGGAATTAATAAATAAAAAATAATTATATAAAAATAAAAAATGGAATTAAAAAAGAAGGGACATAATAGAAAATAGGATAATTAATATGAATAACTATTAATAGAATTTAAAAGAATAAAAATAAAATCAAAACAAGGAATAAAATAAATAAAATAAATAAATTTAAATATAATAATAATATAACAATAAAAAATGGAAAAAATAATAGAAAATAAGATAAAATATTAAATTACGGATAATATCAAAAAATATTATAGGGAAATACTGCATAAAAGAAATCCTAATACAATATCATACGACTTCGTTTTTGCACAAGGGGTTATATTTCATGAAATCATTATCATCATTGATAATAAAAGGAATCTTCATGCGAAAGTCATCAAGGGAACAAAAAGGGTGAACTAGGATAGGTGCGACGGATGCGGCAGGAGATACCGGATCAATCTCATCATGGTTATTTAATATATATTCAACATTCATGCGAGAATTTTCTTGATTTGATGCGACAGGAGTGGCATTACCTTCGATGTAAGCCAAGATGTTGGGATCAATTGAGCTTTGATCGAATTCATCAGGTAAACATTTTTTCTTTGAGTACCAATAGTTTTTAATTCTATTTTCAGATCTTAATAATCCAAATTTACTCTTCAAAACTTGCCGCAAAATTTTCCAATCAATCCTTCCATTTGACGTCCGATTTTGTAATATCCAATAAACGATATACTGTTGCTCAAATCTGACCCAAGGCCCATGATTAACTAATCAAGCGAAAGGCAAAGAAAAAATTATTTCAATGTAAGAAATCAAGTTGTGCGTCAAAGCGTCAAAAAACCACATTATTTCACTTACGGGCTGGACAAAGAACGTTGCGCCAACTATGATCAATCAAATAATAATAATGAGAATTTTTTTTAAAAAAATCAAAGAAAAGAATAAAGGAAATAATAATTTTGTTAACATACTGATGCCCGATCTGACGCGCGGAGTAATGAGGCAATAATTCGCGACTAATTTTTGCAAAAGGATAACGATGACGAGATAAATTTCTCATGGCTCCTCTGATGATCGAGTTACTCTTAATATATATAAAAAAATGACAAAAAAGGTTTTTAATAATTTATTGAAATAATTTTAGCATTATTGATCTATTATTTTTTATTAAAATACCTTCTCATCAAACAATAGGTTTCTCATTTTTCTTTTTTTTTAAAAAAAAAAAGAGAAGAAAAGAAAAAAAAAGACTAATAGAATATTAAAATTTTGGATATATTATATTTAAATAATTTTTTTCTTTTTTTTTTTTTTGAGAAAGATTCGGTAAAATCTTGGAACGTTTTATATACTATTTATTTCATTGAAAATAATCATGAATGAAATGCCTCAAAATATTTGGATGGGATAGCAAATATTCCCACGCGATACAAGTTAGTCCCATTTACGTTTTGCATGGCAATTCGGGTATCACGTCCATTTTATTTTCATAACATATTTGGAAATAATAATTTAGGTATTAAACGATATTTTGTGTTGAAAGAAATCATATCCTTTTAAAAAAGCAAAAAATACGGTTTGTAAACAAAGATTTTCAGATGGATTTACAGGTTTCTCATTTTTAAGATGGAATTTCTTGATGTTGATGTTGATCATGAAATTACTGATTAAAATTTTCCTTTTTTTCTTTTGATTTAAGGTACCTTCATCTTAATGTGTGACCCATTTATGGTCATAATCACGGATTACTTAATCACACATACCTATAAATATAACACGCTTTCTTCCATTACCTTTATTGTATAAATTACATTTTCCTTTTTCATGATTTTTTACTTAAAATACATTCTAAAGTTCTATAGAAAAGTGAGCTTGCTTACAATCAAATTTAGATATCGTTGAAAGGACGAGACACACGTAGTACACGTTTAGGGGATTTGAGATTTATAACATTCGAATTATACAAGATTTATCATTTAAAAAATCAAAAGATCTAATGTGAACCTCGAAATTAAATAGGTACAAAAATGGGTCTTATTCAAATGAGGTTCATTTGGTTCTATCCAAAATAAGCATAGTGACGTTTCTAAATCAAGTACCGGCTCAAGAGGTGAAAGGAGGGAGGGAGTGAGATTCTTGTTTGAACATCATGTAACATCATAAAGTTGTCCATTTCTTATAGAACAAATTTTTTTTATAATCGTACGAAATGCTTGGCTTTTTACAATTTAAAAATTTACAATCAATTAAGAAATAAAATGTTATCGCATGAATGAATTTATCTCGATTAATTTTTAATAAATTGAAATTATATGTTTTAGATACGTTTTCTTGCATGAATTACAGGAGGTGTTGAGCCTAATGCTCTTTTCATGAAGGAAGGTTCGCTGCTTGCGCCGCTGTATGCACAGTACAGTATATTGAGGAATTGATTCTTATATACAAATTAATTAATAAAAAAAAATTTCAAAAAAAGAAAAATAAAATTTACGACGGTCAAGTTCACTCTTTATACGATGTTTAGTATACAAGATATTAATAAGGATCAAAAATTCGTTTAACGCGAACTCTTTATTCAAAGAGCCTCTTTGATCTATTACCAATTTGCTCATGCTTAAAGGGTCGATTTTTGAAAGGATGAATGCCCACGTGTAACGAAAGATGTTCCAAATTCTTATAAACAAAGACGTCATAAAGGGAACAAAGGAGAAGATCGATCCTTTTTTTTTCTCCTTAAAATTCGATCGTCAAATACGTTACTGTAAACATTCATTGTTACATTTGCGACACATGGCAAAAGTTTAAAAATGAAATTGATAGAATATACTTTTAAATGCAAAAAGAAAACGAAACATTGCGATAATTTACATGACAAAAATGAAGTGATCAAAAAAAAAAGTATAACATTAATGCAAGCATTATTAATAAAAAAAGTGAAAAAATTTTATTAAATTTAAAAATCATAAAGTGATAAAATTTCTTGTCATTTGTTCAACATTAATATGCTGGCACAAGTTTTTGTATAAAATTGTAGAACGAGTTTAGGGATGTGGTATAATTATTGTTATCATAATTTTCGTTGGATGGATCATAAAGATAAATTTCATCCTGCACCTCGGCTCTAGCTTCCCGTGCAAGTTGTCTTTGCTTTGAATTCCAAACATTTTTCATGTCATTAAGCGAAAATTTACCGGGATCCTTTTTTATTTTAGTTTTAATAGATTTCCATTTAATGTCCCGATTTGTTACCAGATAATCTTTAGCAGAGTTATAAATGATCTCCTTATCATTGTCAGTGAAAAGGTCATTGTTGACTTGAAAAAAAAAAAATGGAATAAAGAAATTAATCTAAGCATTTTTAAAAAGAGCTTTAAAATAGGTACAATTACTTACTTTGTGAATCTTGTGTGTTCATCCGACTAAAAATATACGACACGAGTAGGTTAGAATTTATAATTTTTTTGCGATTGATTGAAAAGCATTTAACTCACATAGATGGTATTATCTTACTAAAGCTTGAAAATGAACTTTTGTGTTCTACCATGATTTTTATCGTCGTTGAAATCAAATTTCTAAGATTTAATAAATTTTCTTTAAAATTATGCTTGAAAGAGAAAAAGGGTTCTCCGGTTCTTTTATAAAGTCGCGTCCTAGTTTATTATAACTTGTTTTGTGTTATAATGTCCATTGATTCTCGCCAATCCAATCCGGTAAATTAAGTCGATTGTCGATTATATGATAATCTATTTATTTATATTACTATTTGTGTAGATTTTTTTATTTATTAAGTTTTATGATGTAAATTATATTAAAAAGTGAATGTCCTGTTAAAAAAATTTTTTTTTTTTTGATCCAAATCGTAATTATTTTAGTTTTGATTGTCCAATTTTCTGGTTTAGCTAAATAAATGATAATTTAAATGGTTTAAAATGGTTGGTATTTTGAAATTTTTTTTGATCCAATCGGTTATTATTTAATATTTTATTTTGTGTAATATAATCCAATTATTTTATCTCATGTTTATTATATTTATCGATCCCATGAAAAAATGAAATTAGCTAATCTATTTGCATAAGGACCCTGCCTTCGATCCCAAGTAATCCAAATGAAAACACTGGTCATATGGCTTTCCCATTAACAACACATTGGATTACCAACTTGTGCCACTTTCATTGTTGACTTAAATAAACTATTGTATACAAATTTGATGGTGACACTTTATAATATTATTTCACAAATTAAATCAATGCGAAGTGAATTGAGATTCAATGTTTCAAAATATAAATATACTACATTAAAATACAAATCCACAATCATTGTAACAAAAGGAAAAGGTCGGTCTTGAAATGTGAAATTCCAGCCATATTTATACCAAAATTAGCCACCGAATTTTAACCAACTGTAAAATACTGTATAACATTGATCATACGAGCCGCAGGTTCAAGATTCAATGTTTTGTACATTGTTAAACAAATTCTAGTATTTTTTCAGATTATTAAGGTTCGCATCACCATGAAGCTATTGCTGATATTGCTGATTGTGTATACTTTTTTCATTTCCCCCTTTTTTTAACAGAGTATGTTAAGTATGTTAAATATTGGTAAATGTTGATTAAAATAAATGAATAAATAAGTAAAAATAAATTGAAATATACATTAAAGTATCATAATAAATATACATATGTAATAACCGCATAAATAATCAAAAATATATTATTGGTTCCCATCCAAACGAGTGTCGAATAAAATGCGGCGAAAAAAAATAATATTATAATCGGTTAAATATCGTTCCATGAAAATCCGAATAACTCAAAAGATATTCGGAAAATTAAATTGTGGAGGATCAGGTTCGGGTTCTAAAACCGCAGGTGGGATTGAATTCTGTTGTTTTATTCTTTTTATTCGTTCTGTTTCATCTAGTTGTCTCTTTCTTGGGTACCAAAAATTCTTGATTTGGTTTTCAGAGCGTAAGTTACCAAATTGTTTTTTTATTACAGGAATTAATTTTGTCAAGGAGATGACACCGTCTTGTCTTTGATTTTCTTCAGCCCATTTAACGATAAAATCTTTCTCGTCATTACTTAAAGGAACTTTACAAAGATTTGGTTTGAGACTATTTTCCCAATGATGCTGAATTTGTTTGGAAGTGTAGGGTTTCTTTCTGGGAATTTCTTTAGAAAGTTCCTTAGCAATAATCGCATAACAACGCTTGCTTTGATATTTCAGCTCTTCCATACGTCTTAAAATAAACCTTTCACTATCCTTGTCAAAGATACTAAGTTTCATCGTAATCTTGTTTTGTTTTATAAAAAAAAAATTGTTATATCAATAATAAGAAAAGAACGTAGGTAAGAAATTTGGGGTGTTTTATTATATTTTACGTATCACCAAATTTAACGGTTATTAATATGATTACCAAATCATTTCAATCGGGAATTTCTGACTAAGATAAAGTTAATGAGTTTTATGAGCAAATCTTCTGCATAAACAAATATTTTAGGTTGATTTGGAAACGGACTTGATTCGACTTTCATTTAGAAATGTTTCACCAAAAATTAATAATACCAAATTTTGGTTTAAGGCTTGTTCGTCTTAAAAAGAATGAATCTCTGACAATTTTTAGAAAATTCAAATGAAAAGAAAATAACCATGATTTTAAAATTATTATACACAAAACGCTTCCATGTTTCTAAACGAACTTTCTTGTTGTTCTAGTAAAGAAACTGAATCATTCCAAATATACTGTGGAAATGTAAATTTGTGTCACGTTGTTCAATAACGGATGTTTCATAAATAGCTTACATATTATACATATATATATATACAAAAAGATTTCAACACAAAAAAAAATGTGCAAATCCCATATACAAAAAAATGGTAGGAAAAAATTTTTTTGTCTTTTCATATACATGGTGAGTTTAATCTCGTGATTGAGGTTTACTATATATTCAAAAACATTCAAAAACATAATGAGATGATCGACAATTGTACGCCTAATCCATCAATCTTAATCTCAATGACGCAAAAATTGCTTCAAAATATCGGAAAGCACCTGTTAGTGATTGTTTTAACCCATTAACTAAATATTTCATCCATTTCATGTAGTAGCTTTACTTTCAAAACGTCATAGTGAAAAAATTGTTGGTAATGATTGATGTTCACATGTCTTTACTCGTATTAAGTTCATATACTGTAATCAATGATTGAAATTGGTTTGCCAAGTTAGCTATAGATTATTATTAACTTCTTATTCATTTGCATTGGAATGCGACCCTACAAAATAAAAGGTCACGTAACTTTTAAATGCAATAAAGTGCGAGATAATTTTACAAACCGTAAAGCGATAAATCCGATAACCTGTTTTACATTAAATATGCTGACGCAAGTTTTTGTATCAAATTGGGAATAGATTTCCATTGAATTGTCTAGATAATCTTTAGCCGAATTATCTTCCCATCATTAATGAAATTGGTTTATTTTTAATTCGGAAAAAAAATTTTTTTTAATTTTTTTTTTTTTTTGCATTTTTGGTAGGAAAACCATTTTATTAACTTACAAGATATTCATTCAAACTTGCAAATTAAATTTTATGTTTTTTACCGTCGTTGAAATGAAATCTAAAATTTAATTGTTTTTTCAAACTTTATGCTTAAGGAAAACGGTTTCTCTGGTTCCTTTTATAAAGTCGCGTTCCTAGTATATTTATTATACATGTTTGTTAATTGTTATAATTTCCATTCATTCTTGCTACGCGATTACATTTTAATCCGGGATTTAACTTTCATGATAAAGTTGGCATCTATTATATTACCATGCTGTAGATATTAAAATTTTATCTCATACATAGCTAATTTTTTAATTCTACATATGATAAAGCGAATTTTTTTGATGGTGAATAAAGCTCATATTATTTTGCATAGCTTACCTCTGCCAATTAATTTAAAGAAAAAAGTTGAAACCGAGGAACAAATTATAAAATTAGTCAAATCACAATCAATTGCTGTAAATGATAGATTTATCCAACGTGATAAAGTGTCCCATTTTAAACTATATATATACAGTATGGAGGACAAACATTTTTAGCACGACTGCGCCAAATCACGTGAAAGAGAAAGATAAGAAAATTTAATAGGGTATACAATTTTTCTAATTATAAGCTTACATCTTCTCATCGACCCAACTAAAATATTAATAATATCCTGAGGAACATTTGACCATTCCTCCTTCATAAAACTCTCCAAATCCCCTATATTTTGTGGCTGCCGCATCTCAACGATCCTCTTAACAATTGCCCGTAAATTTTCTATGGGTTCAAGTCAGGACTGTTGGAGGTCAATCCTAATGGTCGGGAATTTCTCTAGCAGGAATTCCTTTGCTACTATATATGGCTTGTATGTTTAGGTTTATTGTCCAGTCATATTTTCTCAGAAGCAGTAAGGCTGGTTTACTCTGATCACAAAATCCATCCCATGCATTAATTCTTGTCTGGTTTTGGAATGTGACGAACTGGCTGTTGACACTTACATATATCAATATTACACAGGATAACTAAATAGTTTATTCTGAAACAACTGTGACTACAGTCATCATTCATATGTTTTTGGGCATATTCTATTTGTACTTATGCAACCTTGTAAACATTGGGGTCAATGGGACATTTCTTGTCATAACCTAATGCCCAAAAATCGTTCTATAGGACACATTTGCACCCCTTAGCGAATCAGGATGCTATAATTTTGAATTCTCTGAAGAGATTTTTTTCGGACGACCAGAGCGTTTTGGTGGGCGGTGCTTCCAGTCTTTTCCAACTTAGCCAGGTTAGGTATATTTGTTCATTGTTGTATTTCACCAAACTCCCTAATCTCAGAATTCAAATGTTGAATTGATTGAGACTGCGTAGCCTTGTTGTTAGTTGATGCGTCTTTTTAATTTTGTCGCAAATCGTCCAGTAAGTACTCCGTTATTTTTATTATTAAATGGATACTTTGTTATTTTTTTTTCCGAGATATATTTATTAATAATTACTAAAATTTTCATTTGGACGTCGATGATCACATGATTCGATATCAGAATTTTATCTTCTCTCAAAATAAACGGGATTCCTTAACATATACCCCGGGTATCTCTTTATCTTACATATGATTGGGTCAAAAAATGCAAGATTTAGTGTAACATTTGTCTTGGAAAATTTTTTTTCGCTCTTTGAAGAATATTATACTTTAAATATCAAGAAATTTAATACAAAGATCGTTTTTAAACATTAAATAATTTATATTTCAATAAAAAAGAATATTTTATTTTTAATTTCGTATTAAAAAACACAATTTATATCATTACAAAAAATATCAATAGCTTCGCAAATATTCAAGCTATCTTAATACAAATTAATATCTGAGTAATTTCATACTTGCTGAACGATTTTTCTTAGTCTCCTAAGACAAGTTTCATTTAAATATTTTTAGATATAAAAGATATAAAAAGAAAGAGAGGAAAGCGTATAACAGATAAACAAATAAATCAGTGACGTAGGGAGTGAGAACCAGGTTTAATTATTTTATTAGTAAATATCACGTGATAGTGAATATTTTTAGTGGAGTTATTCGGAACTACAAAAAAAAATTGTTTTAAAACAAATTATTTTTCGGCAATTGTAGCAAATAATTGCATATAGTTGTAGGTAAATCCAGATTTAAAATTCACGCAATTTAATTTAAAAACATTGAACAAAAATTTATTCTTGTTGCTCGTGAATTCCCTAAATAAATCTGTATTAAAGTTCGTTAGATTAAAAAGTAATAAATCACCATATCATTATGTTGAAGTTTTTTTTTAAATTGCGTAGGATCAAGATTGGGTTCTTAAACTGTAAATTTGTCTTTTGATTTCTGCAAGATGTGGATACCAAAAATTCTTGATTTTGTTTTCGGAGAGTATAAGTTACCAAATTGTTCTTTATCACAGGAATTATTTTATTTAATGATAAAGTCTTTCTTGTTATATTATTTAAAGGAACTTTACAAGAACTGGTTTGATATTTATTTTCCCAATTTATTAAGAATCGTAGGGTTTCTAAGAAGCTCTGTAGAACACTCACTGGAAATTATCGCATAACAAGGGCCTTCTTCCATACTTCTTAAAATAAAACTTTCGTAATATTATTCTTTCTTGTTTTATTTAAAATAAAATTTTAAGATTTTGTTTTATTAATTTGAAAAGAAAGTAAGGTAATTTTATAATATTTTGCAAATTAGTCATTCAATAATGAGCTTCATATCATTTATTTTGAAGCGTTTCACCAATAATTAATATTACCAAATTTGATTTATAAAAAGAATTTCTGAACATACAATTGATTCTTACACAGAATTCCATCTTGTAAATAAAAAACTTTCTTATTATTCTTATAAGAAAACTTAATTTTGATTGTAATTTGACTAATTTTATCATTGACGCCTATATATTTATTTATTATAAATAGGTTCATTGGTTTCACCATTTTTTTTCGGTGAGAACATAAAATAAGCTTTTTTAAGCATCAAAAAATATAGTTATTTTAATTTTTCATTTCCAACTTTTGATATAATTAGCTAATCGATTGAAATAATAAATAAATATGAGATAATATTTGAATATTCACAAAAAGGTAAAATAAGATTAATATTGCAAAATTATCATTTAAGAATTAATGGACATTATTACAATAAAAAACATGTTTTGTTCTCAAACATATATAACGTTTGGAAAAAATAATTAAATCTTAGAAATTTATTTCAACGACGATAGAAATCATGGTAGAACATAAAAATTCATTTTTAAGCTTTAGTAAGATCATACCATCTATGTGAGTCAAATGCTTTTCAATCAATTGCAAAAAAATATAAATTCTTTTTAAAAAAGTAAGATTAATAACCTATTCGTGTCGTAAATTTATAGTCGGATGAACACACAAAATGCACAAAGTAAGTAATTGTACCTATTTTAAAGTTCTTTTTAAAAATGCTTAGATTAATTTCTTTATTCCATTTTTTTTTTCAAGTCAACAATGAAAGATTATCTGGTAACAAATCGGAACATTGAATGGAAATCTATTAAAACTAAAATAAAAAAGGATCCCGGTAAATTTTCGCTTAATGACATGAAAAATGTTTGGAATTCAAAGCAAAGACAACTTGCACGGGAAGCTAGAGCCGAGGTGCAGGATGAAATTTATCTTTATGATCCATCCAACGAAAATTATGAAAATTATGATAAAAATAATTATACCACATTCCTAAACTCGTTCTACAATTTTATACAAAAACTTGTGCCAGCATATTAATGTTGAACAAATGGCAAGAAATTTTATCACTTTATGATTTTTAAATTTTCTAGCACTTACTTTACTAATAATCCTTACAATTCATTACATTAAAAGTTACATGTTATCGTTTATTTGTAGTCCGGCATGATTATGTAAATGACATGCAAAAGTTGGACTTGAAAGAAAAGTTAATGACTAGAATAGATTATCAAATTTCATAATTGTAATGAGGTTTTAAAAGCATATATTGGTACGTTTCATACTAAATTTTGTTCGTGTTTCGTTATTATAAAAAAATAAAAATATTATTATTATTCATATTTACACAAAACGCTTCCATGTTTCTAATGAACTTTCTTGTAAAGAATCAAGCCTTTTAATCCAAACTAATTAGGGGAATTTTTTTGGTATATAAAAAACCGGTATGGTACGAATCGTTTGACCGATCACCATACTAGTCAAACGATTCGTTACCGTACATATATACCCTTAATTTTCAATCTAAGATTTGACGCAAAAGAGTTTTTACCTATAAGTTTTAAAAGCCGTATTGAAAAACGTAAACCGGCAATAGATAAGTAAATTTTTCATTGGTTTAGTATAAGTTTTTTAATTTATAAAAAACTTTTATAAAAAAAAATAAACTTAATTTTTTTTTTTTTTTTTTTTTTTTTTTTTTTTTTTTGATGTGGCTCTGCCAACTATTTTATTGAGATTATAGATTTTTCTAAAGAAAATAAAAGAATTACAAGTAATGAAAACAAAACAAAATAAAAACTATCTAATAATCTAGACTAAACGTTAGCTACCTCACAATAATAGAATATGAGAACATACCTATTCATCTAGGTTGACCTATCATTATCAATTCCTTCCTTTAAACCAAAGGAACTAGTTCAATGACTACTAAATTCATCAAGAAAAAAAAAAGAACATATCAAAACTGATTTAAAAATCCATCCACCTATATCCATATGTAAGAGCAAGTTGAATCCATAACTTCCAAATCCTAGATGGTATTATACTTTGATTATGAAATAACTGTTTACATTTATTCTTCATACATTTTATGTCAGAAGTGATACATTTTGATATTTCTTTGGCATTCATTAAAATACAATGATATGACCAAATTCTGTAAATAATTTCTCATAAAGAGATTGTAAACTATTATCTATTAGTTATAATAATATTATCTGTAGAAATTTCCTTCCTTTAAATTCAGTAGTATGAATATAAATTAAGAAGACTCTTAATTTAATATTGTCTTTTAAATATAAGTCAACATAAATATATCAATCATTATCCAAGAATTGTTTTACAATATATTTTGATCAAGATTTACTGATAATAAGGCCAACACCTATTAATTTATTAATGATAGAACTCCAAAATGTAATATAATTAAAATTAGAAGAACATCTGAATACCTAAGAAGATTGATACTAAGTTTTAGATGGAACAATATCATTAGTATTCTTTTAATAAAAAGGTATCTAGAATCTTGCTATTTTTGATATCATTATGAAAAGAATAAATATTATATATAGAAATATAAGGGTATTTCTATTTAAAATTATATTTTTATTATCACTATTTAACTTTTCTAAATCATTATCTATGGTGAGAATGAAGTAATCATATAATAAATGTAAAATATAAGAAGAGAAATCATTAATATTTATTGTTAGATAACTATTATTATTTGATATAATTATGAAGAACATATTAGGTATAGAATTATCATTTAATATGTTAATCAATAAGAAACATAAAAGAGGGTATATCTAATAAAATAACCTACCTATATTGTATACAAATTGTTCAATTTGTTAAAAATGATGTCTATCTGTTTCTTTTATACTGTAATAATAGCAGCTTATTAATAATATTAATTAAGTCAGATTTTCGAAATACTACTAATAAAGAAAAGGAATTATCACTTAAAGATCTAGCAATACAAGATTTTTTATTAGATATATCTTGTGAATTTAATAAAATAAGAGAAAAGTGTGAAATATTCATAATTGATTCTTTTTTTTTTATTAACAATAAGTATAATAGATACTAGATTAGCTATTGGAGAAGAGATTTAAAGAATTTAAAAAGTTTCCAATTTAGCAATTCTTGCATTTAGATCATTTATATTTTTTCTTATATTTATGAGAATATTAAGAATTTGATCCAATTTAATATTGATATTATTATTAGGATTATGAATAGAATCATCAATAGTTAGTTTAATGATATCTTTAGAATAGTGATGGCAAATTATAAGGTCTTTTGACTTGAAATTTATAATAACAATAAGGTCATTTGAGGCCATTTGAGGTTATTTCAAAGTCTTTTCAAGATCTTTTGCCAACCCTGCCTTAGAAAGCAGTGGTAAAGAAATATTCTTATTTTTAATTACATTAAAATATGGTTTAGAAGTATAATTTGAAGTATAATTGAAATTGACAAATTTTGAAACCAGATTTAAATTTATTATAAAGTCTTTATATAAAGTTATTTTAAATGTTAGATTTTGGTTTTTATTATTCTTCATCATTTTTATATAATAGATTTTTGTAAAAAGAATATTTTATGACAAAATACTCTGGATCATTACACTTATGACAACTTTATCATATTTTCAATATCCTTGGATAAAGTATACTCAGCTAAATTAACTTGTATATTTCATGAAATAAGTCAGATATGATGTTTGGTAAGTCTTGTAATTTTTGCTATTAAATTTTGAGCAATATACATATAAACACATTGAATATGATGCTAACTAACTTCTTTTCCATTTATTATAATCTCTCTAACATTTTGTTTGGCCTTGACCTTTTCCAATATGACTTTTTGAAAGATTATTTTAAAATTTTTTGAAAATATATGTAGAGTTACTGATAAAAATATGATATACTAGTAATTGGATTTATTGTTTTATAATTCATCTAATAAATCTAAGCATTATAAAAAGTCTAATATTGCTACTTTCATTCTTCTTTATTAAATAAAATTGTAACATCAAAGATTATACTTCAGAATAAAGATAGTTTCTATAATTATTTTTAAAATTTTAACTAGTTGCAACTTAAGTTGCAACACTTTGAGTTGCAACATTTTATGAATTTTTATATTAAAATAAATTTACAAGGAATTGCAATTTATCAAGTTACACTTCTTAATTATGGGTCAATCTTTACTTCAGAATCAATTTTGTTTAATAGGCATTGATTGTTTTAATAGTTTTCGATCAACTTAAAATTTATTAAAAAGAATAAATCTAATAATTATACTATAAACTTGCTACAATTAAGACTTTTTGTTATAATTTTTACATGTTTTATAATTATTTTTTTAGTATCAACTTCAATAATATTCTCTAAAGACTATGAAAAACCTACTAGTCAAAACTTTATATGATTTCTATTTCTCCAACACTGTCATAAATAGACATGTAAATATAAATGCTAATATATTCAAGATTAGCCACAAGTTAAAAAAGTATTTTATTAATTTTATATGCAATAAGATTATTAATTCTATAATATACTATTAGATATGCAAAGTTACAAGTAACTGAATACCAAATAATTTAATGTACATATGTTGCTAAACCTTACTTATGATCTTTTAGATTAAGTAGTTACTTGTATTCTTCCTTTACAGTTCTTTTTCATATTGTATTATAAATGATTGTAATTCTTATTTTTCATTGTAAAATCCAAATATCTAATATAATAATTATTCCGTTGACTCTAAAGTAAACCTATTAATATTAAATAAGAAAGTACAGATTTTTTTCTTAAATAAATATTTTATAAACAAAATTAACCTTTTTATATTTTAAAGGAATTATAAGAGAAAAATCCAATTTGACCATGATTAGCAATATTTTCTACAACTATTTTTTCTAGTATATATATAGTATGCATTTTTATTTTACTCTTCTAAGTGGTATTAGCTTTTATTTATATAGCTTTTTATAGTAAATATTAAAGGCAATTGCATAATGTCTTTTATTGTTTTATAAGCAATATAACCTGCTTGACTATATATAGAAATAACCTATTGTAAAAATCTAAAAAATTAAAATAAATTATTACATAATTTTTTATTTAATTATTTTTTCTTTTATACTTATATTGGATAGTATTTAACTTTATTTGCTTTTTCACTTTTAATCTTAATTAATTTTCAAAACATTAGATTAAAGAAAAAGATTAATTTTATTTATAATATCACAAGCTACTTTTTTAGTTATTTAATCCAATTCATCTGATACTTTTTTTTCTTCTTCTTATACTCTTTATTAAAGTTGAACTTGTAAGACATGTATAATTTATTTCTGATTTGCAATTTTCTTTAAAAGATTATATTAATATTAATTTTATTCTTAAATTTGTATTTTTAATCATAAGTAATTACCTTTTTTTGAAATTGAATTTTTTTAACTAAAATTTTTTGAGAAGTATAAGTAATTTAATAGTATCCTAAGAATTTCAATTTTGATTTTTATTAATATATTTTTCAATTTTTGATAATTTTTATATATATTTGCATTAGTTACTAATAAAATACAATTATTTTTTTGTATGTTTCATCAGATTAACTTTTATTTTTTAGGATTGCAAAAGGTTTATAGATATTATCAGAATTTTTTTAGATGAATACCTCAGAGCTGAACTACATTTTCAAAATCTAAAATATAATTTTTTAAAAAATTAATTAAAATTAATATTACATTTCTTATTTCTTATTAATATTAAACCTTATATTACTTTTGAACTTTTATCTAGTATATATCTTTGCTTTTAATACATAATTAATTATCTTTTCTATTTCTGATAAAGTTCTTTCAATTGCAGTTTTTGTTGCTACTCTATCAATTTTTTTGATAATTTTTCTAAGATGTATAATTCATAAGAAATTAAAATTTTTTGCTATTTAAAAATTAAATTTTTCATTATCCTTTATTCTTTTCCAAAAATGTGATACTTATTCTATTAATAATTTCTTTTAATCTTACATCAAAAAACTCTTGTTTTGAATTTATATTTTTTTTTTGATTAACAACAATGTAACTTTTGTTATAGTTGCAGAGTTATGATTTTTTTAATATGAAATTGATTTTGTTCTTAATATTGAAAATAATTTAAAATCAGAAGTATTTGGTTAAAAGAAAACTGTAGCTAATGCTGATCATTCACCACCAAATATTTTTTACTTTAAGTAACTTAAACTAAGAGGCAAAAGAATTAAATTTTTCACCACTTTTTTTATCAAAATGATAAAAAATCTTATCCTGTTTATTATAAACTAAAAGCTTTTTTTTCTATATATAGTGTTTTTTTACAAAAAAAAATAAACTGTTTTGCCATTAAATTCTGGCCTAAGATGGTATAATTCTTGAAGGGCTTCAGGATGCTTATTTTTTTTTTTAATATTTGAGAGTTGGAATGATCACTCAATACTCATTTCTAAAATATAAAAAGACTTTTAAATTAACTTACTTAGAAAAATGGCATTAAATTTATTTTACTTACCATAATTACTGTATAATAAAAATAGCTGATGGTGTTTTTTTTTTCTCCGAAGATGTTAAATAAATTTTTAACGACTTAACATAATAATGAACTAATTGGCACCACAGGTTTTATATCTCGTGACTTGATTGTTACTGGCAACGTTGGAAACTTCCAATAAAAACCTATTGGCGAATAGGCTAATTGGGGTTAATATTAAATTGCGAAAAATCAAGATTGGATTCTTGAACTAATAAGTTTGTCTTTGAATTCTGCAAGATGTGGATACCAACTTTTTGATTTTGGTCTTTCGGAGAATAAATTACCAAATTGATCATTTTACATAGGAATTATTTTTTCCAGCCCCATTTAATTACTTAAAGGAAATTTACAAATATTAGGTTTGAGATTATTTTTCCAATATATTTTGAAAATATAGGTTTCTTCCTAGGAAGCTCTATAGAAAAAATCCTGGTAATCTTCGCATAACATCCATTGCCTTAAAATAAATTTTCGCTAAGATACTGAGTTTCATTGTAATCTTGTTTGATTTATAAAATTAAAATTTTATGGTTTCGTTTTTTATTAATATGAAAAGAAAGTAGGCTAAAAGTTTTGGTATTTATAATATTTTACAAAATAACTTTGTATTAAATTTCCGACTAAAATTCTAAGATAATTGCAATCTTCATTTTGAAAGCTTTCATATCATTCATATTACGTTTCACCAAATGAATACCAGATTTTGGTTTTAAGCTTTGTTCTCTATAAATAGAATTTTTGACAACTTAGAAAATTCAAATAGAAAATAAACCTACATATCCTTTGAACTTATTTTACACAAGAAGTTTCAAAACGGGCTTTTTATTAAGTTGTAAAGAATTTTAAATAATTTCAAATACTTGGAAAATGTAATTCTGTGCCACGTCAACATAAAATTCATACAATCATCGAAAATAAATCGCAAACACATTCAAACAAACAATGTCTTTGTCAAAATACATGGTTGAGATTAATCTTATGCCGAAACTTGATTGAGGGTTATTATGAAATTTAAACATCTCTTAATATGCGTTGAAGTTTTGACGCAATTACTTTAATCACATAGTGAAAGGTGCTTTTACTGATGATATCTTGGATCTAAAGCGTTACTAAGGGGAGGATCTGAAATTATGTCATTTTAAAAGGTGAAAGGGTTCAAATTACGTTCCACTACATTTCTTAAAATGGATGATTATTAGAGGAAGAGGGTCTAATGTATCATATATGTTCAGCTAATTAGCACAAAATAAAAATCGGAATGTTCATCTCCATGTGACTTATAATAGACAGCGACCTTTTTATTGAAAATAAAATGATGATTTCGAAGTTAAAGTTCATTTATATGGGACAAAGCATTGAAAGTTCAAATTTATATTTATCAATATTTTTTTTCTTTTCATGTTTACAATTATTACAAGTAATTTTTGTTCTGTCAATAAAGCATAAAATTATTTAAAATGAACTCGTACGTTCAAAATCATTTTTAGGGGATTCATTTTAAGGATCCTCGAATTATTGAAATCGTTGTCCGACCCGACCGGTACCACATCAATGGATAGGTTTTCGATTATTTTATTTCTATTTTTAATCATCATAAAAAATATTTTCATTATGTTAATATTTTTGATTGTCAAATTTATCATGTTGTATAATTACTACATTCGATATTTCATTATCATCGTACTACCATATGAGACCGCAATATTTTTAATAAATACTCTACAATTAATTTTCTTTTCCCTCTTTTTAACTTATCAATTGCGAAAAACAAATTTATTATAACAACTATATTATTATTTATTACTTTTTCATTTTACATTATTTTCTTTTTTTTTTTTTAGAATCTTATCCATCGAGGAAAGAAATATAAGAAATATAATCATGCATATATGATACAATGAAATTAAAACAAATAAGACGAACTATGCTAATACATAAATATATATATAATATCTATCGTTGGAACATTTTGGGATCAAATACAGGTTTCTTTTGAATCAAGATAAATAGACGGAAGCGTTAATGAATGATCAAAAGGAGTGTGTGTAATTGATGCCATGACATTATTATTATGATTATAAGAAGATTCCATACTCTTTAAAGAAAATAATTCCAATGAAGGCATAATATCAAAATCAATAGAGGGACCAGAGCATGTCATAATCACGTCATCATCGAAATCATCTTTGGGAGAGGGAGCAGCGCATGTCATAGTCACATCATCGTCGAATTCGAATTCATCAGAGGTGAATGTTGTATTCACATCATCATCAGTAGGTAGGTCGGAAGTTCTTTGTTTATCTAATCGCCGTTTGTTTGAGTAATAATAATTTTTGATTTTATTATCGGATTTTAAACAGTGAAATTCCTTTTCCATTTCCAGACGTAATTTCTGCCATTTAATTTTTCCATCTGGTGTCATATTACATCGAATCCAATCTTTAATAAACCTCTTTTCTTCTTCCTTTAGCGCGCAATGACATACTAAAACAAAAATGCTTTATTTAATTAAAGAAAAGTTGTAATTAAAAAAGGTATATCATTTTCTATTTGCTTACATGCAGGGTCAAGAGCGTTGAGATAATGGTTACGAATTTGTTTAGCGGTAAATCGAGAGGAAAATTCTGTTTCAATCCTTTTATATCGACCATGAACGACTCCAGTTCGTTCCATTTCTTTTATGCAAGCAAGAATTACCTCATCATCCTTTTAAAAATAAAAAAGAATGAAAATTAAATGAAAAGAATTATTAAATTTCTTTAAATAATAAGTAGATAAAAAAGGTTTTATAAATGTTTCTTACATCTCCACTGAACAACCATTGGCGATTCATATCAGTAAAATTCTTTTAAATTAATAAATGTAAATAGGTATGAAAATTTGTTTTTTTTTGAAAACAATGAAATTGTAAAATTCTAAAAAGTTACTATTTATACAGAACAAATCTATTTAATATATATGAGCATTCAATGAAATTACTTACATCTCAATAATAATGTGAAATGGGTTTACTTTAAAATATTATTTTTAAATCGATTAATACACTAACCAGCATTAAAAGAGGATTGTTTACATTGTGAACGATGGACAACTCTAAATATTTGAGGTTTCCTATAATGTAACGATGAAAGGTTGATTGATTAAATCAAATAAAGCCACATCAATATATGTGTTAATGCTCCCAATTAAAGCAATTGCAAAGAATTAAACGTTAAATATTTATAAGGGTAACTCTTTGATCTATTTACATATTTGTTAATCCTTATAAAGATCAGTTGAATGTTATATTTACAATAAATTAATTATATAAACGTAATTGTAAAATTCATACGATTGTTGTAATGTAAATTATTATATTGTACTCGGATCGTCATTGACAAAAAGGGAGCAGTACATTTTATAGATATGTCTATAAATTTAATATTACTTTCTCCAAATTGGGCCAAAAAAAAAGAACGATCATTTTTTCCCAGATCAGATGATTCCTAATATTTTTCGAAATATAGTGTAAATTCTCAATTTTTTTACTGTAAACGATCAAAGATACTTTTTTATTTTATATACACTATTATAAACTTAACGCTTCTTTGTTACATTCCCTTATTCGGATATTTTTTTTTTTGAATGGATCTCATTTATCATATCCATTTATAACCATGAAGTTACACGAAAACCAATCCAATGTATTTGAACATTTTCGGTATAGGTTCATTTTATCGTTGAACCTTTTATTCAATTTACAATTGGATTCTAAATTTTAATTTTAATTTTTTTTAAAAAAAGGTAATGTACAGTACAAAAATTAAATTACATTTGAAATTCAATTTTGATTATGGTAATTATAAACTTTGAAGATAATGAATATAATGCAAATAAAATCGGAGAAATTTTTGGTGAAAACTTCGCTATTAGAGATGTTATAATATTTATGTAATTTTTTGAATAAATTATGATTTTTGTGTTATTATCTTCATGTTCATGATAGTGATGTTTTTCTTCTTTCACTTCTTTACATTGCAATTCTTCATATTGTACTTCTTCATCTTTCACTTCTTTATATTGCAATTCTTCATTTTTCACTTCTTCATATTGCAATTCTTTAATTTTCACTTCTTCATATTGCGATTCTTCATCTTTCACTTCTTCATATTGCAATTTTTCATCTTTCACTTCTTTATATTGCAATTTTTCATCTTTCACTTCTTTATATTGCAATTTTTCATCTTTCACTTCTTCATATTGCAATTTTTCATATTGCACTCCTTCATCTTGAGATTCAGCTCTAGATTCCCGCAAAAGTTGGTTTTGTTTTATATACCAAAAATTTTTAAGATCATTTTGCGAACAATATATTTCCAATTCTTTTTGCATTATATTTTGTAAAAGTTTCCATTTAATTGTATGAGATGTTTCTAATTGCCCATGAACCCATTCACAAATAAAATCTTTTTCTTCGTTAGAGAAATTAACATGATCGTTATTGAATCCGAGTTTTTTGCATTGTTGGATGTTCAATAACAGATCCCTCATCTAAAAAAAAAAATTAAGATAAAATGATTGTTAAATAAATTCCTTCATTAAAATAAAAAATTTTTTTTTTAAAAAAGCTAGTATAAATAACTTAACGTACGTATTTGAACGCTTTTTTATTTGACCTTATAATAGTGGTAAAGGAAGATAACATATTGATTAAAAGTGATTGAACTTTATATTTAAGAAAGTAAAAAAAAAGTTGAAGAAATCTACTAAATCCTGACACTTTATATACTTTACTTATATGAAAAAAAAATGATCAATCTAATCACAAATTGGATTGGACGTTGATCAATTGTTTATTCATTTGGATTGGATTTATTGGATTTGATTGTGTAATTGTTATTGATTATGCACCAAACATGGTTCTAAAGTGAGATCGATCCTTGTAATAGCTTTGAATATTCATTTCACCTGATTATAGAATTTTATTGCGATCTTTATGTTTGACTTTTATAATGACCAAAAGACCAAAAAGTACCAAGCCAAAGGCAATTTAGTGCGAGTCGTTATCGTTAAGACTCAACAATTAAATTAGAAGGAAAATTTTGTAAAGAAGAATGAAATGACATAATTCAAGGGGCAAATATTTATTTAATTAATAACTTATAATTATAGGAAAAAAACCTTGTCGAATTTATCCGCAATAAATAAAAAGTATTACGATAAATAAATCCATAAATAATAATATAAATATGCGCAGAGTTTATGAAAATAATGAAATATACTATACAGTATAAGTGACAAAATAACAAAAATGGCATCGACAAGTCTAATTTATTTAATGTAATCTCATTGAGATTGACTTACGCCTAATCCAATTCAAATCAAATAAACAATCAAAATCCAATTCAATTCAATCCAATCCGCTTTTGGTTCTTTTTTAATGTTTATCTGACGATCACTTTTTTTTTTTATTTAAATATTAGTGTTTGGGGTATAATACTTGTTTTTGTAATACTAAATAATTGTATCATATATGAGTTTTATTATATATCAAAAAGTGAAATTATTTGTTATATTCGAATTAATTTCGAACCAATATTCGAATATCGAAATTTGATACAATTTCATAATATTTATAAACAGATATTCGAATATAATTGAAAATAATATAAAAATACGTTACTAAATTGATCAATTAATAAATTTAATTGTTATTTTCTGATACCTAATTTTATTGATATTTTAAAATTAAGTTGAAAATAATGATAGCCGGATTTAACCCAAACAACTCTAATACTAACCGCAAATTAACCCCAAATTAATCCTAATTTATGAAAGATATGTAAGTAAATCATTCCAAATTCCTAGAATACTTAGAAATCATGAAAAAGTATAGGGTGACATATTTAGTAAATTTGGGATATTTGATTATTTTTTCAGAATAAATAATGGATCTCGTGATTTCGAGAAAATGGATTCGCATTTTACTATTAAATTTCCGATCCTACGATTAAGATTAACTTTTCTTTGTTTCTTTCAAGAAGTATAATCAGAAATTTGCACACTAAAAATTATTATGAATATGGTTACTCAATCGTGTATCCTTCTTAGTTGTGATGATTACCATTCGTCATAGGAATACCTCTAGAGAATCGTCAAATCTTAGACTCTGAGTGTCATGATCACTTAAATATGGACACTGAATACCAAGAGAGATTCGCTTCCCAAATGCATGGACTAAATATACTTAGCTCTTTAGTAACGTTGACCAAAATGAGGGTTATATGTGCATTTGCAACATTTTCAAAATATTTGAACAGGAATTTGTGAACTCAAAAATTTTGATGATTTTTTTATGATGATGCGACTCCATTCTAAATTGCCCACATCATTGTGAGTGTTTATGCGTTTTTACAATTATTTTTAATAAAGAATGATTTCTTTGTACCAGTTATTATTTCTGAATATTTTTTACTGCCTTACAATATCATGCTGATTTTTGCATATTTATTTTTTATTATATCGTGTATATAATTAATATATTACATACTATATGTTTCTTTATCAAAACCACCACTATAATTTTTACAAATACTTCTTTTCTTGCTAGCACGTCTTTTGTTTGTTTTCTTGAACCTTCTTTCTATCTGTCACCAAACAATTTTTTTTTTTGAGTTTTATTTTCTCTTTTTTTCAAGTTTTTTTGATTGAATAATATTTTTTTTTACATTTATTAGATACTTTTATATTTTCCTTCATTCAATTAATTTTTTTATAAAATTAAATATATGGGATAGCTGCAAAAAGGGGACCAAATTGTAAAAAAAAAAACTTTTTTAAAATAATTAAAGTTCTGGATCAAACGATAAAATTTATATCTAATTCACTTAGGAATAAATTTTGAAAAATTTTCAATTTGATCCACTCATCCCATATGTAAAATTTTCAACTTTAAATTTAATATTTTTTTTTATAAATAAAATAATATCTAAATATATAAATAATATTTTAAATAATATAAAAATAAATAAATAAATTTTATAATATTATATTTATTGCTTTAAATTAATATAACTTATTACAAATTTACTAATTTATTTTATAAGAATAAAAGGTCCATTATTATAAAAAATAAAAAAATAAATAAAAAACTGAAAAATACCTACTGAAAGAATCCTGAAAAGCCACTTACCTTATACAAAAAAAAGAAGGTTTATCAGTTATTACTATAAAAAAAAAGAAAACATTAGTAAAAAACTGAAAAACATCACTTAAAAAATCCTAAAATTCACTTACTTACCTTATCCAAAAGAAAGAAAGTCTGTTATTATAAAAAAAATAAGAAAAACTTCCAAAAGAATTCTAAAAAGCCAGTTAACTTATCTAAAAGAAAGAATGTTTGTTATTATAAAAAAAAAATATGTTTTACTATAATACATGAGATTAATAGTAAACAAATTATAATAAAAAGAATAAAAGTGTAAATAATCCATGTGATAAAACTACATTTAAATATAATATTTACCTTTCAAATTGACAAATTTGTTTCAATTGATAAAAATTGCTTTATCTTTAATTGTATGAAATTTATAATGATTTATTAAATGAATTTATAATAATTTATTATACAAATTTTGTAATAAATTGTTAAATGAAATTTATAATGATTTATTATACAAAATTTGTAATAATTTGTTTTAAATAAATTTTATAATAAATAATTATAACAAATCATTAAACAAATTTATAATAAATTGGCATAATTAATTGTTAATAAATTTTATTATAGATTATTAATAAATCTTATTAACAAAACTTATTAGTGAATTTTTACCAATTGGTAAATTCTAATTG